AAGAGATGTGGGAGAGAGTAGAGAGAGAGGAGGAGAGAGAGAGGGAGAGAGGAGGAGAGGAGAGAGAGAGGGGGAGAGAGGAGGATAGAGAGGAGAGAGGAGAGAGAGAGGAGAGAGGTGGGAGAGAGTAGAGAGAGAGGAGGAGAGAGGAGATCCCCTCGCGTCGGCTCGCTTCGCTCTCCGCGGTCCTCGAGTCGCGTCTCTAGCTCTCATGTCTCTCTCCGCTTCTTCGTCCTCTTCTTCTGCCTCGGTGCTCTCGCTGTCCTCGCTCGTCTTCTTCGGCCTGCTCGCTCTCTCTCGGCTCGCGCTCCTCGCCTCTCTCTCTATCTTCGCTCTCGCGCTCCTCTCATCTCTCCTCGCGCCCTCTCGCTCTCGCCTTCTGCTCTCCGCTGCTCTCTCCTCATTCCTTCTTCTCTCTGTGGCTCTCTCTTGCTCTCTCTTCTTCTCTCTCTCTAGTCTCTCTCTCTGCTCGTCTCTCTTCTTCGCTCCTGGCTGTCGCTCTCTCTCGCTTCTCTCTTCTCGCTGCTCGCTCTTCCTCTCGCTGCTTCTCTCTCTTTACTGTTTTCTCTCTCTCTCTCTTCTCTCTCCTCTGCTCTCTCTCTCGTCTTTCTTCTCTCGCTCTCTTTTCTTCTCGCTCTCTCTGCTCTCTCTCTTGTCTCTCTTCCTGTCTCTCTCTCTCTGTCCTCTCTCTCTGGTCTCTCCTGCCTCTCTCTCTCTCTTCTCTCTCTCTCTGTCTCTCTCTTCTCTCTCTCTTCTCTCTCTCTCTCTTCTCTCTCTCTGTCGCTCTCTTCTGCCTCTCCTCTCTTCTGCTCTCTCTCTCTCTCTTCTCTCTCTGCGTTCTCGCCTCTCTCTCTCTGTCTCTCTCTCTCTTCTCTCTCTCTCACTCTCTTCTCTTCTCTTCTCTCTCTCTCTCTCTCTCTTCTGCTGGCTCTCTTCTTCTCTCTCTGTCTCTCTCCTCTCTCTCTCTCTGTCTCTCTCTTTCTCTCTCTTCGCTCTCTCTCTCTCTCTCTCCTTCTCTCTCTCTTCTCTCTCTCTCTCTCTCTCTCTCTCTCCCTCTCGTCTCTCTCCGTCTCTCTCTCTCTCTCTCTCTCTCTCCTCTCTCGTCTTCCTCTTCTCTGCTCTCAATTCTCCTCTCTTCTCTGTCTCTCTCTCTCCCTGTCGTTCTTCGCTCTCTCCCTCTTCTCCGCTCTTCTCTGTCTCTCTTCTCTCCTCTTCTTCTTCTCTCTCTGTCCCTCTGTCTCTCTCTCTCTCGTCTCTGATTCTCTCTCTCTGCTGTCTCTCCTCTCTTCTCTCCTCTCTCTGGTCTCTCTCTTCTTCTCTCCTCTCATGCTTCGCTCTTCTCTCTCTCTCTTCTCTCTCTCTTCTCTCTCTCTCTTCTCTCTTCGCATCTTCCGCTTCTCTCTCGCTTCTTCTCTCCTCTCTCTGTCGTCTCTGTCTCTCTGCTCCTCTCTCTGCTCTCTCTCTCTTTCTCTCTCACTCCTTCTCTCTCTCTCTTCTATCTTCTCTCGTCTCTTCTCTCCTCGTCTTCTCTCTCGTCTCTCTCTCCGTCTCTCTCTCTCTCTTCGTCTCTATCCTCTCTTCGTCTCTCTCGGCTTCTTCCTCTCTCTCTTCATCTTCTCTCTCTCATCTTCGCTGCTCCTCTCTCGTCTCTTCGTCGCCGCTCATCTGCCTCGTCTTCTCTTCTCGCTCTTCTTCTCTCGCTCTCTTCTCTCTCTAGTCTTCTTCTCTCTCTCTCTCTCATCTCCTGCTCTCTCTGCTTCTCTTCTCGCTCCTTCTCTCTCTTCTTCTGCTTCTTCTCTCGTCCTCTTGCTTCTCTGCGTCTCTTACTCATCTCCGTGCTTCACTCGTCGTAGCTCTTTCTTCTGTCTCGTTCGCGGTCTCGCTCTTTTCTTCCCCACTCCAGACCCACATCTATCTACCCCGTGTCCATTCCACCAGCAGTTCCACGCATGCTCCCCATTTCCATTCCACCATCATTTCCACGTCTGTCTGCCCCTGTGCCAGTCCACCATCATTTGACACATCGTAGCCCAGGTGCCAGGATCACCATCATGGGACCCAGCATGCTCACAGGGCCTGGACACCTTTCCACGCCTTGCTGCGCCCTTGCACAGGGACTGGCCTCCTGCTGGGACTCTGAGGAGCACAGGGACTGGCCTCCTGCTGGGACTCTGAGGAGCACAGGGACTGGCCTCCTGCTGGGACTCTGAGGAGCACAGGGACTGGTCTCCTGCTGGGACTCTGAGGAGCACAGGGACTGGTCTCCTGCTGGGACTCTGAGGAGCACAGGGACTGGCCTCCTGCTGGGACTCTGAGGAGCACAGGGACTGGCCTCCTGCTGGGACTCTGAGGAGCACAGGGACTGGCCTCCTGCTGGGACTCTGAGGAGCACAGGGACTGGCCTCCTGCTGGGACTCTGAGGAGCACAGGGACTGGTCTCCTGCTGGGACTCTGAGGAGCACAGGGACTGGCCTCCTGCTGGGACTCTGAGGAGCACAGGGACTGGCCTCCTGCTGGGACTCTGAGGAGCACAGGGACTGGCCTCCTGCTGGGACTCTGAGGAGCACAGGGACTGGCCTCCTGCTGGGACTCTGAGGAGCACAGGGACTGGCCTCCTGCTGGGACTCTGAGGAGCACAGGGACTGGCCTCCTGCTGGGACTCTGAGGAGCACAGGGACTTTATCTTTACTCTTTTAATGAGTCGTGATCATTTATGAGCCCTTTGAGTTTCCTTGTGTATGAAGTGTGCTATACCAATAACCTCGCCTCTGAGCCTCTGTCACTGACTCTCGATGAAGACGTTTCTCGAAGTGACGTCTCTGTTTGGATCAAGCGACAGGTCAAATAAATTCTAAACTAAACTCCAGGAGACACTTCAATATTGTCCTGTGCTGCTCTGTGGCTGTGCGTCAGACTCGTACCTGTGAGCTGGCCCACAGGGACTGCCTTTATTGTTCCATCCGTCATCAGGAGCCAGAGTGTCTGTGCTGGGCCCGGGTGAGAACTGTCATGGCTGTCATGTTTACTTCCTGTTTTATTCAGTAATAGTCTGTGTCTGTCTGGGTTTTACTTCCTGTTCTGTCGTTTGCCCCGCCCCCTGAGGGTCGTACCTGTGAGTCCCAGTTTAAATCCCTGTGCTTCCTCTTGTTTTCAGTCCATTAAGATTTCAGATTCAGATTCAGATTCAGTTTATTTGCCATTTGCAGTAAAACCACATTGGAATACATTAGCAAAAGTCTCCAGTGTGCACAGACAAATACAGACATAAAACAACATTAAAAGACAGAAATAAAACAAATAAAACAGTAAACAAATGTCACTGTGAAATGGATCGACTAAAACAGTTTCAAAACAAGTGCAAATCATTAAAGTGCTCTGTTCACACTGATAACAGCCTGTGGATAAAAACTGTTAGCGTAACGAGATGTCCTGCATCTCAGAGAGCGATATCTTCTGCCAGAGGGAAGAAGCTGGAACATGGCTTTCCCAGGGTGGCCAGAAGAGTCATTAACAATCCTAAGAGCTTTGTTTAAAAGTGTGGATTTATAAAGAACCTCCAGAACAGGAAGCTCACAGCCCACGGTCCTCTTTGCAGAGCGGAGCACCTTGTTTAAAGCTCTCTTTTCTTTATCTGTGATGTTTCCAAACCACACAGACACAGAACCAACAAGTCAACTCTCAATGGTGCAGCCATAAAAGTTGAGCACAATCTTAGAGTTAGTGGTAAATTCTCTAAGTTTACGCAGAAAGTAGAGACGCTGACGAGCTTTCTTAACGACTCAGTGTTTTTAACCCATTTCAGGTTAGACAGAGTTAAACCCAGAAACTTACACTCCTCTACGATCTGCACCTGGGAGTTGTCGATTACGACAGGAGTGTGAGACACTTTTTGTCCAAATGTGACACTTTTTGGCGTCAAGGCAATGCCAAAGTTGAGAAATGCTGAAGTGTTCAAGCTTGACGCAGGACGCCAACCAATCAAGAGACAGCGTCGCTCGAGTGACGCATTTCACGTAGAGGAAGAATCTGGAACAGGAAGTAAACCTCCCCTTTAAGAACACTGTAAACATTCACTGATTCTGAGTGAAAAGGTTCCTGTTCTGTGGCGTGTGCAGTTGTGGAGACTGCTCGTATCAAGTGGGGAACTTATGGAGTCTCTATTTTGCTACAAAGCATTTCTCAAACATGTGTCAATTTTTAGGAAAATGCCTAAAAAGAAACGGAAGAAACTAAGCCGCAAAAATTTCCTGTGCTACCATTATACAGGAGTAAAATACTTCCTGTCCTGCTGTTCCCTGCTACGCCCCCTTCTGGTCATGTGGTGGCAACACATCCCTCCATTTTCTCCCCTTAATCTATTCCTGTGTCGGGGGTGGCAGTCAGAGCACCAGCCCCTCACTGATCCTCTGCAGGGGCTGAGTCCACAGGAGCTGAGATCTTTCAGTGGGGGCTTCAAGCAAAGTGGGGTTGAGTGTCTTGCCCAAGGACACAACGACAGCAGACATCAGTGGGAGTCGTGAAGTACGTTTGTGTTGAGTGCGAACCCACGACCTTAAGGCTCAATGTTAAATATTAGCATTGGCTAATTCTTATTCCGGGTCCACCCCCACAGGCCCGGGGTGGTACTGCAGCCTGTCAGAGCACATCATTTTGGACATTTTTGAGCCAGGACCCGCCCAAACTGGACCCGCCCAAACTGGACCCGCCCCCACTGGTTAGAAACAGTAATAAGCTCCTCCCAACACACACACAGACACACTCACACACACACACACACACACACACACACATATACACACACAGACTCACACATTCACACACACACAAACACACACACTCACACACGCACACACAGACTCACACATTCACACACTCACACACACACTCACACGAACACACAAACACACACACACACACACACACACACACACACACACTGCTGCTGAGGTTGATCACGGTGAATTAGCATAAAGAACTACATGTAAGCACTGAACTCCATAATGATGAGTGCCCCGGGAGTGATGAAGACAGCTCCCATTACTGTTTGTGTAGAGGAGGAAGAGGAGGAGACAGAGGAGGAGGAGGAGGAAGAAGAGGAGACAGAGGAGGAGGAAGAGAAGGAAGAGGAGGAGGAAGAGGAGGAGGAAGAGGAGGGAGAGGAGAAAGAGGAGGAGGCAGAGATGACAGAGGAGGAGGAAGAGGAGACAGAGGAGGAGGAAGAGGAGGATGCAGAGGAGGAGGAGGAGGAGACAGAGGAGGAGGAGGAGGAGACAGAGGAGGAGGAGGAGGAGACAGAGGAGGAAGAGGAGGAGGCAGAGGTGACAGAGGAGGAGGAAGAGGAGGATGCAGAGGAGGAGGAGGAGGGGACAGAGGAGGAAGAGGAGAAGGCAGAGGTGACAGAGGAGGAAGAGGAGACATGTTGTGAGTGCATTGAGGAGGAGGTGCCCTGGCCCAGCGCGGCCCCTACAGCAGCTGTCTCACACAGCTGTGGCAATTCATAAAAGATACACACACAGAGACACACTCACACACACACACACACACACACACACACACACACACACACACACACACACATACACACACAGACACACAGACACACACACACACACACACACACACACACACACACACACACACACACCAGTGCATATGCAACTCACAGCGCCCCCTGGGGACTATACCTTCCTCTTCATGTTTTTGTGACACAGGCGATGATAATTAGACTAACTCAAAGTCTCCTCAGAGCAAGACGTGGAGATGAGGAGAAGGCAGAGACACACACACTCACACGCATACGCACACACACACACGCACACACACACTTACACACACACACTCAGGGTTGAAGCAGAGTTCACCTGCTAACTGCCATATTGTTGTAGAACATTATTGCGCCCAGAGATCTATACTTTAACATTAACTGGGGCAGTGCATTGGATGGAACCACTGGGGGTTCTTTTCACCGTGACCACAGAGAGAAGCTGCAGGGACAAGCGATACACCCCACAGAGAGAGGCTGCAGAGACAAGCAATACACCCCACAGAGAGAGGCTGTAGGGACAAGCGATACACCCCACAGAGAGAGGCTGTAGGGACAAGCGATACACCCCACAGAGAGAGGCTGAGGGGACAAGCAATACACCCCACAGAGAGAAGCTGCAGGGCAAGCGATACACCCCACAGAGAGAGGCTGCAGGGACAAGCGATACACCCCACAGAGAGAGGCTGCAGGGACAAGCGATACACCCCACAGAGAGAGGCTGCAGGGACAAGTGATACACCCCACAGAGAGAGGCTGTAGGGACAAGCGATACACCCCACAGAGAGAGGCTGCAGGGACAAGCGATACACCCCACAGAGAGAGGCTGTAGGGACAAGCGATACACCCCACAGAGAGAGGCTGCAGGGACAAGCAATACACCCCACAGAGAGAGGCTGCAGGGACAAGCGATGTACCCCACAGAGAGAGGCTGCAGGGACAAGCGATACACCCCACAGAGAGAGGCTGCAGGGACAAGCGATACACCCCACAGAGAGAGGCTGCAGGGACAAGCGATACACCCCACAGAGAGAGGCTGCAGGGACAAGCGATACACCCCACAGAGAGAGGCTGCAGGGACAAGCGATACACCCCACAGAGAGAGGCTGCAGGGACAAGCAATACACCCCACAGAGAGAGGCTGCAGGGACAAGCAATACACCCCACAAAGAGAGGCTGCAGGGACAGGCAAAAAACCCCACAGAGAGAGGCTGCAGGGACAAGCGATACACCCCACAGAGAGAGGCTGCAGGGACAAGCGATACACCCCACAGAGAGAGGCTGTAGGGACAAGCGATATACCCCACAGAGAGAGGCTGCAGGGACAAGCGATGTACCCCACAGAGAGAGGCTGTAGGGACAAGCGATACACCCCACAGAGAGAGGCTGTAGGGACAAGCGATATACCCCACAGAGAGAGGCTGCAGGGACAAGCGATGTACCCCACAGAGAGAGGCTGTAGGGACAAGCGATACACCCCACAGAGAGAGGCTGCAGGGACAAGCGATGTACCCCACAGAGAGAGGCTGCAGGGACAAGCGATACACCCCACAGAGAGAGGCTGCAGGGACAAGCGATACACCCCACAGAGAGAGGCTGCAGGGACAAGCGATACACCCCACAGAGAGAGGCTGCAGGGACAAGCGATACACCCCACAGAGAGTGATGCACTCTACAGAGAGAGTGATACAACACAAACTTCCGCACAACGGCTTCAAACTTAAACCATGGTCTTGTTTTTTCCGTCCGCAGTCTTCACCGACGTCAGAGAAGATAAAATAGAGTTTATTATTGATCTCTGATGGAGAAATGTACAGGTCACATCTGGCATGGATAAAAACACTCAGATTGTGTAAAAAGATAGACGTGTGAAACATGTTAAATTTTAAAAATATAGTAAGAAATAATAAAAAATAAAGTGGCAATTAATGAAAGCGGTACAAATAGCAGTGCTGTTTTATTCAGTCCTAGTGCCTTTAAGTGACTTATTGTACAGTCTGAACGTCAGCCTCAGAATATCGTCAAGTGGAACAAAACTTATCCAAAATATAAAAAATTCTCCTGCACATTCAAATATATTGCATTTATTCAGCATCTACTGTTTCCACTTCCTCTGATCCCTTTGTTTGTGTAAATGTTTCCTCTGCTGTGTCTCCGGCAGAGAGAGGGATTGACTCGGGACGAACAGGACTGACCTTGGCCGCTTCAGGCCCAGACACAGCTGTAATCATAGCACTGCTCCCAAACCCCTCTGTCCGAGCGGAGAAGGGCGCTTTACCGACAATAACATGCAGAAAACTATTTATTTTACGATCCATGTGGTTGGTCTACGGCAGACAGGTCAACCTCAGGCTCGTGGGCTGAATCTGGCCCTCAACACCATCGTTAGTGGCCCCTTAAAGGACTTTTAATTGTTATTATTATTAGCCTGCATTGATGGGCTGCCCTGGCCTGTTATACATCATCTAAGGTAAACAACCACATTTATTCTAACAAATCTAACCTTTTTAGAAGAGAAATAGTTAAAAGTACACAGGGATTTTCACAGATTTCTCTTTGCTCTCTCTTTCTTTCGCTCTCCCTGCTCCCGAGAGCGAACCCCGAATAAAACATGTGTGAGAGACGTGCACGAGCCCAGTTCTCCTTGTGCACGCTCTGCTCACTGTGGGCATCGCTCACAAACTCTCTCACAAACTTTCCAGGATGATTTACACTTTTTCCTCAATGTCAGAGAATATTACCCTGGTCGTACCACACCGACCTACAACACCCGCCTCCGCCGCTCTCTGATTGGTCAGAGGGGATTCAACCGAGAAAACTGAAGCCACTGTTGTCTATTGTTTGGTGTATTGTATCAGTTTTAGTTTATAGTTTTCTTTTTTCATCTTTGTCACATGGCGTATGGGTCACATGACGGATGGGTCACATGGCGTAGGGGTCACATGACGTATGGGTCACATGGCGTATGGGTCACATGGCGTATGGGTCACAGGGCGTATGGGTCACATGGCGTAGGGGTCACATGACGTATGGGTCACATGCCCACTGTCCTGTACAGCACTTTGTGATTTTTATCTGTGAAAAGCGCTTTATAAATAAACTTTACTTACTTACTTACTTACTTACATGGCGTATGGGTCACAGGGCGTATGGGTCACATGACGGATGGGTCACATGGCGTATGGGTCACATGACGGATGGGTCACATGGCGTATGGGTCACATGACGTATGGGTCACATGGCGTATGGGTCACATGACGTATGGGTCACATGACGTATGGGTCACAGGGCGTATGGGTCACATGACGGATGGGTCACATGGCGTATGGGTCACATGACGTATGGGTCACATGACGTATGGGTCACATAGCGTATGGGTCACATGGCGTATGGGTCACATGACGTATGGGTCACATAGCGTATGGGTCACATGACGTATGGGTCACAGGGCGTATGGGTCACATGGCGTATGGGTCACATGATGTATGGGTCACATGGCGTATGGGTCACATGACGTATGGGTCACATGACGTATGGGTCACATGACGTATGGGTCACATGACGTATGGGTTACATGGCGTATTAGGCCCGGTCATAAGAGAGATATCCTTTATTGGTCCCACAGTGGGGAAATTTCAATGTTGCAGCGCACAGATAGGACAGTAGTAAGAGACACAGGGAGCACACAAAATAAGTAATAGCTGTAAATGAGGCTGTAGACCCAGGACTGAGGCTGTAGACCCAGGACTGAGGCTGTAGACCCAGGACTGAGGCTGTAGACCCAGGACTGAGGCTGTAGACCCAGGACTGAGGCTGTAGACCCAGGACTGAGGCTGTAGACCCAGGACTGAGGCTGTAGACCCAGGACTGAGGCTTAGACCCAGGACTGAGACTGTAGACCCAGGACTGAGGCTGTAGACCAAGGACTGAGTTTGTAGGCCCAGGACTGAGGCAGTAGACCCAGGACTGAGGCTGTAGATCCTGGACTGAGGCTGTAGACCCAGGACTGAGGCTGTAGACCCAGGACTGAGGCTGTAGATCCTGGACTGAGGCTGTAGACCCAGGACTGAGGCTGTAGACCCAGGACTGAGGCTGTAGACCCAGGACTGAGGCTGTAGACCCAGGACTGAGGCTGTAGACCCAGGACTGAGGCTGTAGATCCTGGACTGAGGCTGTAGACCCAGGACTGAGGCTGTAGACCCAGGACTGAGGCTGTAGACCCAGGACTGAGGCTGTAGATCCTGGACTCAGGCCGGGCTCAGGGGTCCCATCATCACGCCATGAAACAGACAAGGCGACACCGGGCGAACAGCAATGAACAGACCACAGCTGAAATCAAAACAACAACAGATAAAGTAGAACGCAGTGCAGTTACCACACGTCTCCAGCAGGGGGCTCCATCTGCCTATTTTTTTAGACATAAGATTGTATTTCCGAGTCTTACCTGAACATGACCTTAAATATGGCCTCATTCCCGGGCGTCTGACCTCGTGCACAGTTCAAAGTGCAGCTTTTGTTCCCGCCGCTCGACTCTTACTGCATTAATCAACCGTTTAATTACAGACGCTATTTTTACACCGTCTCTGGCCACGACTGTGAAATACATTTCCTCCACGGCCTCCTGGGTCCTCTTTACTCTTCATCACAGAGTTGTCCATATTAATTGAACTTAAAAGTAATTTTTCAAAGACCTGCAAGAGTTTATGAAAGTGTGGACTTCCCTCGGCATTGTGGGTAAGTAGATTACCCTTGACGAGCCTAACGCAAGTCTGGACCCCGGCTCCTGACGGCAGCAAGGTGAAAAAGTAGCAATTACCAAAAAGGTGCGAGGCGGAGTGTGTGTCTCCTTCTTCTTTCCTCTGGGTTAAACCGGGATCAGTGTGGGGCTGTGAAGTGGGGAGGGCACCTTGAAAACGCTGCTATTTATTTGTTTGAAATCTTCTCTTTTCCTTTCCGCTGCTCTTATTGCCACTGGGGAGTCCGCCATTGATTTTCACTTCAATAGTCCACCTGTGACCCCGGCGGGACGTGACTTCCCAGAGCCCCGTTAGCGCGCTAGCTGCCGGGCGTGACGGAAATACACTGGATTATGCTTCTACACATGAGCTGCACGTGTGTGTTCTGTGTGTAGTTATTTATGAATCTGCATTTACACTGAAAACATGAGGAAAAATGTGTCTTAATCGAACACATTCTGACTGAGCTTTAAAACCAGATTCTCCAATGGGACAAAGATACAGAAATGTCTCCAGTTCTTGAAATAATAATAAAATGTCTTTGTCCCGTTGGAGAATCTGGTTTTAAGTCAGAATGTGTCGGATTAAGATAAAAATATTACCTCAGATTTAGTTTTTTGCAGTGTACAGTGGAACATTCAGTTTATGACAAAGGTCCTGGTTAAAGAACGTGTGTTGTTTTAAACCGTGTGCAGTTATCGGAGAACAATTATTATGAGTACGTTTTTATTTATCAAATCCAGTTTAACATGTTGTTTATTTAAACAGTAGTTTTCTCTGAGGACTTTATAAAACCGTTGAATTTGCAAAGAACTGAGACCCGCCGAGTCCTGGTGCCTCCTGCTGCTGATGTAAACACAACACTTTATACTTCTGCATATATATACTGTATATATATAAAAAATAAAATTGTCCACTCACCTTTGGCCCTCCGTGGGCGGTTATCCCTCTCTAAGCTCGGGTCCTCTACCAGAGGCCTGGGAGCCTGAGGGTTCTGCGCAGTATCTTTGCTGTTCCTAGCACTGCACATTTCTGGACCCAGATGTCCGAGGTTGTTCCAGGGATCCGCTGTAACCTCTTCTAGCTTCGGGGTCACTGCCCCGAGTGCACCGATCACCACGGGCACTACTGTCACCTTTACCCTCCAGGCCCTCTCACTACTGTGACCTTTACCCTCCAGGCTCTCTCACTACTGTGACCTTTACCCTCCAGGCCCTCTCACTACTGTGACCTTTACCCTCCAGGCCCTCTCACTACTGTGACCTTTACCCTCCAGGCCCTCTCCAGCTCCTCTCTGAGACCTTGGTATTTCTCAAGCTTTTCATGTTCTTTTTTCCGGATGTTACCATCGCTTGGAATTGCCACGTCCACCACCACGGCTGTCCTCTGCCCTTTGTCCACCACCACGATGTCAGGTTGGTTTGCCATTACCATTCGGTCGGTCTGTATCTGGAAGTCCCACAGGATCTTCGTTCATTTTCCACCACCTTTGGAGGAGTTTCTTAGACCTTGGGGTTTCCAGCCCATACTCTGCACAGATGTTTCTGTACACTATGCCAGCCACTTGGTTATGGCGTTCCATGTAGGCCTTCCCTGCAGCATCTTGCACCCTGTAGTTATGTGTTGGATCGTCTCAGGTGTCTCAGGTGCCTATATATATATATATATATATATATATATATATATATATACTTCTGCTCTAGAATATATAATATTTATACTTTTTTAGGCTAAAGACAGATTCTTGCTTCTTTATGATGCATGCTGCTTGTTCTAACATGTGATCACTGTCTCTGTGTGTTTTTACATAAATAGTGTCTCTGTGTGTTTTTACATAAATAGTGTCTCTGTGTGTTTTTACATAAATAGTGTCTCTGTGTGTTTTTACTAACTTTTTACTAACTGCAGATGGAATTAGCCTAAAGCTATAATCTGGCATATTTACATTTGTAAAAATGTTCATTAATATGTATTGTTTCTCCTTTCTCAAATAAATAAAATAAATAAAAGTTAGAGATGGTATTTTAGTCCAGAGTAATCGTTAATTTTCCTACTGTTCTGTAACTGATGATGCAACACTGACATTTCCCTCTGAGCAAAGATCTCTTCATCTCTTTGTGCTGCCCTCCATTTTAACCAATATTATTTCTGTTCTCTCAATCGGCAAATCTAGTTCCAACGCAGTCAGAATGAACTATGGCACCAGCAGTCTATGGTACCAGCAGTCTATGGTACCTGCAGTCTATGGTACCTGCAGTCTATGGCACCAGCAGTCTATGGCACCAGCAGTCTATGGTACCAGCAGTCTATGGTACCTGCAGTCTATGGTACCTGCAGTCTATGGTACCTGCAGTCTATGGTACCTGCAGTCTATGGTACCTGCAGTCTATGGCACCAGCAGTATATGGTACCTGCAGTCTATGGTACCTGCAGTCTATGGCACCAGCAGTATATGGTACCTGCAGTCTATGGTACCTGCAGTCTATGGTACCTGCAGTCTATGGTACCAGCAGTCTATGGTACCTGCAGTCTATGGTACCAGCAGTCTATGGTACCTGCAGTCTATGGTACCTGCAGTCTATGGCACCAGCAGTCTATGGTACCTGCAGTCTATGGTACCTGCAGTCTATGGCACCAGCAGTATATGGTACCTGCAGTCTATGGTACCTGCAGTCTATGGTACCTGCAGTCTATGGTACCTGCAGTCTATGGTACCTGCAGTCTATGTTACCTGCAGTCTATGGTACCTGCAGTCTATGGCACCAGCAGTCTATGGTACCTGCAGTCTATGGTACCTGCAGTCTATGGTACCTGCAGTCTATGGTACCTGCAGTCTATGGTACCTGCAGTCTATGGTACCTGCAGTCTATGGTACCTGCAGTCTATGGTACCTGCAGTCTATGGCACCAGCAGTATATGGTACCAGCAGTCTATGGCACCAGCAGTATATGGTACCAGCAGTCTATGGCACCAGCAGTATATGGCACCTGCAGTCTATGGTACCTGCAGTCTATGGCACCAGCAGTCTATGGTACCTGCAGTCTATGGTACCTGCAGTCTATGGCACCAGCAGTCTATGGTACCTGCAGTCTATGGCACCAGCAGTCTATGGTACCTGCAGTCTATGGTACCTGCAGTCTATGGCACCAGCAGTCTATGGTACCTGCAGTCTATGGTACCTGCAGTCTATGGCACCAGCAGTCTATGGTACCTGCAGTCTATGGTACCTGCAGTCTATGGTACCAGCAGTATATGGTACCTGCAGTCTATGGCATCTATGCACCACAGTCTATGGTACCAGCAGTCTATGGTACCTGCAGTCTATGGCACCTGCAGTATATGCTACCAGCAGTCTATGGTACCTGCAGTCTATGGTACCTGCAGTCTATGGTACCCATATATGGTACGCAGTCTATGGTACCAGCAGTCTATGGTACCTGCAGTCTATGGCACCTGCAGTCTATGGCACCAGCAGTATATGGTACCAGCAGTCTATGGTACCTGCAGTCTATGGTACCAGCAGTATATGGTACCTGCAGTCTATGGTACCAGCAGTATATGGTACCTGCAGTATATGGTACCAGCAGTCTATGGCACCAGCAGTATATGGTACCAGCAGTCTATGGCACCAGCAGTATATGGCACCTGCAGTCTATGGTACCTGCAGTCTATGGCACCAGCAGTCTATGGTACCTGCAGTCTATGGCACCAGCAGTATATGGTACCTGCAGTCTATGGTACCTGCAGTCTATGGCACCAGCAGTCTATGGTACCTGCAGTCTATGGTACCTGCAGTCTATGGCACCTGCAGTCTATGGTACCTGCAGTCTATGGTACCTGCAGTCTATGGTACCAGCAGTATATGGTACCTGCAGTCTATGGTACCTGCAGTCTATGGTACCAGCAGTCTATGGTACCTGCAGTCTATGGCACCAGCAGTCTATGGTACCTGCAGTCTATGGTACCAGCAGTCTATGGCACCTGCAGTATATGGTACCAGCAGTCTATGGCACCAGCAGTCTATGGCACCAGCAGTCTATGGTACCTGCAGTCTATGGCACCAGCAGTATATGGTACCAGCAGTCTATGGCACCTGCAGTCTATGGCACCAGCAGTATATGGTACCAGCAGTCTATGGTACCTGCAGTCTATGGTACCAGCAGTATATGGTACCTGCAGTCTATGGTACCAGCAGTCTATGGTACCTGCAGTCTATGGTACCAGCAGTCTATGGCACCTGCAGTCTATGGCACCAGCAGTATATGGTACCAGCAGTCTATGGTACCTGCAGTCTATGGTACCAGCAGTATATGGTACCTGCAGTCTATGGTACCAGCAGTCTATGGTACCTGCAGTCTATGGTACCAGCAGTCTATGGCACCTGCAGTATATGGTACCAGCAGTCTATGGCACCAGCAGTCTATGGCACCAGCAGTCTATGGCACAATCCTGAAGGGTAGTTTTTGCCCGGACCATCACATCTTGTGGTGCGAATGCAACAATGAAACCAACATATTTTTGCTAATGAAAGTAGACAGTCCAGTCTTTCACAATCTGGTTTCATATATCACATTGTCACAGCACATAATATTCTGTGGGTCTTGAAAGTCAGTGAAATAATCAAAAACGGCTGGCAGTCAATGTGTACTTTTTAACATGTAACATTACCATAAGAGTAAATATCTATATTGTGAGACTGGGGTCTGTTCAAACCCTTTTGTGCTGCTTTGGAAAGTACAGAAAGTGTGAAACAGACATAACTCTGAGCTGTAGATTGTGGCACATGTAAACTTTAGGAGACAATGGTGTTTGCTCATGGCCTTCTGTCTGTAATGATGTCTGGACCCCCTGCAGAGCCCTGTCAGCTGCAGCGGGGGCAGCCACGGGATTCTCTGAGCTCTGCAATCTTGGACAAGTGTGATGGAGCATATGCACCCCGAGATCACCGCAGATTACAGAGACCCCGCTCGCACTTCCATCAATATTGTTCTAATTACAGAGAGACGCTGCGGTGGGATCACACTCCTCACAAACTGCATCCATTTGGGAAAGATGCTGTCGGCGAGAAAACACTGAAAATTATATGCAATGTATAGTTTCATGGTTGTTACCAGGCTGTGGCTGGAAAGTTTTACTGTGGATGGTTCTGGTTCTGGGGTCGTCTGGAGCTTGTTGACTGTGACGTGAAGCAAATAAGAACAGAGCAAAGAAGCCCGATCGGAAAGTCTGCTGGACTTTGGTAACTCTACCCTGGTCTTACCATGTGTAAACTCTTGTCCATGGTCATTTCCTACATGTACGTCTGGTCTTACCATGTGTAAACTCTGGTCCATGGTCATTTCCTACATGTACGTCTGGTCTTACCATGTGTAAACTCTGGTCCATGGTCATTTCCTACATGTACGTCTGGTCTTACCAAAGCCAAAGCTTCTGTTGTGGCTCTATTCCCCACGGGCTCCGTTAGTGGCAAAGGAGATGGCTAAAGCTAGGCTAAATGCTAAAGCTAGGCTAAATGCTAAATGCCTTACTCACTCGGGCTCAGATCCAATGGTTTCAATCTGCAAAAGGAGTTAATCCCTCCCACCTGTTCACCGAGTCAATGGAGCCCACAGATGGCGGAGCTTCTCACATGGGTCTGGGTCTGATCCATAGCAGCAGATGGATTTCAGAAGGCGGGGCCTTGTAAAAACATCATTGTATGTGATTGGATAAACCACTGGTCTGTTTTCTTGAATGATGTGTTCCTTCAACCACTCACATCGAAGCACACGACTCCTATGGGTTTTTGGCTGAGATTTTCCAGCCAAAAACCAGCGAGAATGCCCCAAAAAAAAAAAAAAAAACAGAATGAATTTTTGGGTAAAAACTTAATCATACTCATGTTTGCTTGATGAAGGCATAACGCCGAAACGTCGCACTTCTAATAAATCATTTTTAATTTGCAAGTAAGACAGTGTGCAGGCATCTCTCTCATGAGGCCACACAGGCCTCTCCTCCTACGCACCTGAAAGGCACTGATGTGGGAAAACCTACTCCAGGGTAAAAACGTGATGTAATCAACTTGGGCTGTCATGATTCTGTTTATTTATTACCTTCAAGTCTCTTGGAAAAAGAGACTCGTTGCTGCGTGAGACACGCACGAGAAGGCGGAGCAAACCTGACCTAACACCGGCGATTCTGATTGGCCGACAATTTTTGGATCTGCTGAAGGAGTTTGCATTGCACTCGATCCCAGACCCTTGTGTTCAGCCAAACGCCTCTGGTGGAGCATGGCGGAACTGCACGGCTCTGGAGAGTCAGGATAGCGAATCCATACCTTAGTATGAAATGATATTAGTACAATGGTATGACCAGGCTATGGTTACTATAACCCTAACTTACCTCCATATCATACGGTGACAGTCACATTGTCACTTTTTTTGAGTTAAAGGTCCTGTATCTTACACTTTTCGTCTTCTCTCTGCTTCACATCCTTCAGCGCTCTGTGGCCTTCGCACAAATGCCCAAAGTCGATGTTTCATTGATTCCCTGAAGGCTTTAGACGTGTTTACACTGAGACGCTTCCTCCAACATGTTTCATGTTTGTCTGAGCTAAATCTAACCGTGCCTCATCCGTCACTGAGGCCCTTTTACTGTATCTTAACCATTTAGACCTACAGTATAATTAAAACAACTAGGGGTTAAAAAAACATTATTTGTGTTACTAGTGTCCGATCTTAGAAAATCTTCTTCAAGGAGTGAACATTAAAGGGTTAAAAAAAGTGTAATCTCGTATCGCCCTAAATCACAACAGCAGTTATCTCTTTACAAAGCTGTCGATTCTCCAACACAGATCAGAGAAACAAACAGTACAAGCTCAGAAACACTCAGACACATGGAGCAGATGAACTGTTTATAAATGTTAAAGGAGTGTCCTGGATCCTCCCTGTCCTCACTCTACAAACTCTACAAACTCTACAAACTCTGCAAACTCTACAAACTCTGCAAACTCTACAAACTCTGCAAACTCTACAAACTCTACAAACTCTACAAACTCTACAAACTCTACAAACTCTGCAAACTCTACAAACTCTACAAACTCTACAAACTCTACAAACTCTACAAACTCTACAAACTCTACAAACTCTGCAAACTCTACAAACTCTACAAACTCTACAAACTCTACAAACTCTACAAACTCTACAAACTCTACAAACTCTACAAACTCTGCAAACTCTACAAACTCTACAAACTCTACAAACTCTACAAACTCTGCAAACTCTACAAACTCTACAAACTCTACAAACTCTACAAACTCTACAAACTCTACAAACTCTGCAAACTCTACAAACTCTACAAACTCTGCAAACTCTGCAAACTCTACAAACTCTGCAAACTCTACAAACTCTACAAACTCTACAAACTCTGCAAACTCTGCAAACTCTGCAAACTCTACAAACTCTACAAACTCTGCAAACTCTACAAACTCTACAAACTCTACAAACTCTGCAAACTCTACAAACTCTACAAACTCTACAAACTCTGCAAACGTAAAAAAGTAACATCTCACAGCCCAGCGAGTCCTATACATACTTAATACTTTATATACTTTATACTTTAGACTTTATACTTAATACTTTATATACTTTATACTTTATATACTTTATACCTACTGCACATGTGAGAGCTGTGAGGCTGCGTGCGACTCCAGCCCCATCATATTATTAACAATCAAAGCTCCGGCTGCAATCAGCCTCTGGCACCGTCTGAACGTCCTGGAGCCAAACAACACAAACATTACTTTACAATGGGCAGCGATAAGCAGCTGACAGCTGTGAGATCCGGATCAGAACCAGAACCATAATCATCCAGCTCTGTGGAGTCTCCAGCTTCACCTGAGTCTGTCTGCGGCTGAAACACCACGGCCCTAATTGGCTCTGACAATCTGGGCCGCTCCATTCCAAGCTCTGTGTTTGTAATTAGGTCCAATCAGTTAGAGTGATATTCATCGATTCCCCTCGTTCCTGCCTCCCGTTGTTAGATTCTGAAGGAGACTGTGTTCTTTTGGCTAATTTTAGCGCAAAAGGAAAATAATAATGATTGATGCTTCTCGCTTTTCTCTGTTTCATTCAGAGCCGTTTTCAAACAGATGAATCTTATGCACAAAGATATGAAAATGCAAGAAGCTAATTAGCGCACCGCGAGAAGGGCGTTATCATGTTGTTATCAAGGTAGCTGCCCTAAAGCTTTAAACATCACATCAGATTTACTAATCGCTCACTTTGACAGCGGCGTCAGGGACAAACTCACTCATTCTGAAAGCGACGGATGTGTTCTCCTTTAACTTTGCTCTGAAGACAGAACGTGGAGGGAATCCTCTATCATTTAATTCATCAAAACCACCTTTTAGCCCGAGCAAAATGGAATGTTTTGTTTGAGAATCTCAGCGAGTTTGGCAGAAGGTGTCGTTTGAGACTCAGGAGTCAGTAACTGGAGCAAGTTTCTGTCGGAATCGTTTAAAGTTAAAGTAGAGAAAAATAAACTAAAAGAGAAACTAACACAATTCTGTTCTCGATAATGTGATCTGTGAAGGTCAGAGATGGATCTTTATTTAATATATGGTATTGTTCCACCCTGACCACAGTAGGAAGTGCAGAGACTGTATAGAGATGGACAAGGCTAACCCATTAGCTTAATGAAGCCCAACAGGGAAGTGCTCATAGACATAGTTTTGCTCCAACTCACTTATCATCAGTCTCCAGGAAGTCTCATATCTTAGAAATGCCTTTCGGCTCAGCTCCCTCTTTATCACAACGCTCCATCCTCCCCTCACTCGTGAACAAGACCCTGAGATACTTGAACTCCTCCACTTGAGGAAGGACCTCTCCACCCACCTGCAGAGGGCAAGGCACCTTTTTCCGGTCGAGCACCATGGCCTCGGATTTGGAGGTGCTGATTCTCATCCCAGCCGCTTCACACTCGGCTGCAAACCGTCCCAGTGCATGCCGTAGGTCCTGGTTCGTTGGAGCCAGCAGGACAACATCGTCCGCAAACAGCAGAGATGAAATCCTGTGGTCCCCGAACCGGACCCCCTCCGACCCCTGGCTGTGCCTAGAAATTCTGTCCATAAATACAGTGAACAGGACCGGTGACAAAGGGCAGCCTTGTAGGAGGCCAACATTCACCGGGAAAACTGGCCCTGGTCATACAGGGACCAGATGGCCCTCAGCAGAGGACCCCAGACCCCATACTCCCGGAGAACCCCCCAAAGGACGCCCCGGGGAACACGGTCGAACGCCTTCTCCAAATCCACAAAGCACATGTGGACAGGTTGGGCGAACTCCCATAAACCCTCGAGTATCCGATGGAGAGTATAGAGTTGGTCCAGTGTTCCACGGCCGGGACGAAAACCACACTGCTCCTCCTGAATCCGAGATTCGACCATCGGCCGTAGCCTCCTCTCCAGTACCTTGGAGTAGACCTTACCAGGGAGGCTGAGGAGTGTGATCCCACGATAATTGGAACACACCCTCCGGTCCCCCTTCTTGTAGAGAGGGACCACCACCCCGGTCTGCCACTCCATTGGCACCGCCCCCGATCGCCACGCGATGTTGCAGAGACGTGTCAGCCAAGACAGTCCTACAACATCCACAACATGACTTTAGATAGTCAGGACGGATCTCATCCACACCCGGAGCCTTGCCACCAAGGAGGCTACCAACCACCTTGGTGACCTCTGCCAGGGAGATGGATGTATCCGCCCCAACATCCTCAGCCTCTGCCTCTGTAACGGAGGACGTGACGGGGGGATTGAGGAGAACCTTTAAGTATTCCTTCCACCGCCCGACAATATCCCCAGTCGAGGTCAGCAGCTCTCCACCCGCACCGTACATGGTGTTGGCAAAGAACTGCTTCCCCCTCCTGAGGCGCCGGACAGTTTGCCAGAATCTCTTCGAGGCCGACCGATAGTCATGCTTCATGGACTCTCCGAACTCCTCCCAGTCAGAGACCCTGTGACCACAGCTACGAGCCGCCGCATCAGCGATCGAGGAAGAGAACATGATCCACTCAGACTCGATGTCCCCCTCCTCCCCCGGGACCTGGGAGAAGCTCTCCTCCTCTTTAGCTCCTCCCCTCTCTTCACCCAAGTATCCGAGACATGCAGCCGAAGGTCAGATGATTCAAGAAGAAAGTCTATCATCGACCTCTGGTAAATCCAAATGTATTCTTTCATTATTCTGTCGTCGACACTGCAAAAACCTCAGAGTTATCTCTAACATCTTTAAACTGTGGTATTTGAGCTGCAGTTTGTCTCATGAAGCAGAACGAAACCTTTCCCTCGTCAGACTGCGGAACAAGTCAGACTGTCAGACTGCGAGACGAGTCAAACTGAGTGAGGAGAGAGAGGAACCTGACCTCCACATCACCCCAGTATGAAAAAGACTAATCTCTCTCTCCCCTCTCTCCCCCCTCCTCCCCCTCTGCTCTGCTGGCTGGTTGTGTACCTGTGCGCTCTGACAGACGGTGCTTTGATCAGGGCCGGGCCTCCAGGGCAGCCCCCTCCTGTCTCCTCACTCTGGATCCTCTCACTTCACACAGGCTTCACACGGGCAGAGGGAGAGGATGGGAGACGGATCAGCAGAAAGAGAGAGAGAGGGGGGAGAGGGGGGGGAGGAGAGAGAGAGGGGGGAGAGGGAGGGGGGAGAGAGAGGGGGGGAGAGAGAGAGGGAGGGGAGAGAGAGAGAGAGGGAGAGAGAGAGAGAGGGGAGAGAGAGAGGGGGAGAGAGAGAGAGAGGGGAGAGAGAGAGGGGGAGAGAGAGAGAGAGGGGAGAGAGAGGGGGAGAGAGAGAGAGAGAGAGAGGGGGGGAGGAGAGAGAGAGGGAGAGAGAGGAGAGAGAGAGAGGGGGGAGAGAGAGAGAGAGGGGGGGGAGAGAGGGGGGAGAGAGAGAGAGGGGGGGGAGAGAGGGAGAGAGAGAGAGGGGGGGGAGAGAAAGAGGGGGGGGAGAGGGAGGGAGACTGCAGTGGCTTTGATCTGTGCTTCTGTTCGTCTTTCAAACAGCAGCCATTAGAACACAGCAGACTGAACCAGGAAAGACTCAAAAACCATCTGACAGAGACCGACCCTCGGACTCTGACCCGGACCCGGACCTGGACTGACTCCACTTCAGTGGTTCTCAACGGATGGGACGGGAACCCAAAGTTCTGGTGTTAATGATAACAACACAAAAATGTGAAAAGGCAACAATATTTAGCCAGATGTTGTCAGACCCCTGAAGCTAAGCAGGGCCGGGTCTGGTTAGTGCTGTGATGGGAGACCTCTGGGAACAGCAGGTGCCACAGTGGGGCGGCTGTAAAGTTCCAAACTGTGGTTGTATCCTTAGGCAAGACACTTCCCCCACATTAGAATGAGTCTGGTGTGTGTGTGAATGGTTGGTTGCCTCGCTTCTGTCAGTGTGCCCCAGGGCAGCTGTGGCTACAGTAGTAGTTTATCACCACCGTGTTTGGAGAGAATGAACAATGACACATGTGAAGCGTCTGTGAGCGTCCTGAAAAGTGCTTTATAAAACCAAAGCATTATTATTATTCAGATTTTCAGCCAAACCCAGTGGTCGCTGCTTGAGTTGACTGACAGAATCATCCAGACTGACAGAACCATCCAGACTGACAGAACCATCCAGACTGACAGAACCATCCAGACTGACAGAACCATCCAGACTGACAGAATCATCCAGACTGACAGAATCATCCAGACTGACAGAATCATCCAGACTGACAGAATCATCCAGACTGACAGAACCATCCAGACTGACAGAACCATCCAGACTGACAGAACCATCCAGACTGAGGCTCCACCGCCCGCTCCCCGTGACGCTGATTATGAGTTTGCAGATCCTCTCCCAGTGTGAGTTTGTGAGATATGACACAGAAAGAGTGGGGTGAGAGACTGTAAAAGTGCCCAAATTGCCTGTTCAAACGGCCCACATTGACCCCTCTCAGGCGGGCCAGGAGCGAGTGTTCAAGTGTTTACAGCTGAGTGCAGGTTTCTCAGATCCTTTCAGGACGTGACGGGTTTGCGGCTCGTTCTGACGATTAAACTGTCTATGGAGCCAGTCGGGGAGTCGTGCTCCCTGCTGAGACCCAGGGCGATTATGGAGGTTTGGGATGTCACTCCTCCTTCCGCTATCATCGCAAATATCCGCTCATCATCTCATCAGGCTCCAGCTGCAGACGGGCCACGCTCCTGCAGCTGCTCTCCGAGGGTGATGTCACATTATTTAGAGTCTGTTTAAGTGTTCAAGACTAAATCTATACAGGGGAAACTGGTAATGAATAATAATGTATGGGTTTTATACAATGCTTTTCTGGATGGGTTAGGGTTAGATAGAGACCAGAGAGACCAGAGAGAGACCAGAGAGAGACCAGAGAGAGACCAGAGAGAGACCAGAGAGAGACCAGAGAGAGAGAGAGAGACCAGAGAGAGACCAGAGAGAGAGAGAGACCAGAGAGAGACCAGAGAGAGAGACCAGAGAGAGACCAGAGAGAGACCAGAGAGAGACCAGAGAGAGACCAGAGAGAGAGAGAGAGACCAGAGAGAGACCAGAGAGAGACCAGAGAGAGACCAGAGAGAGACCAGAGAGAGACCAGAGAAAGAGAGACCAGAGAGAGACCAGAGAGAGACCAGAGAGAGAGACCAGATAGAGAGACCAGAGAGAGACCAGAGAGAGAGACCAGAGACCAGAGAGAGAGACCAGAGAGAGAGACCAGAGAGAGACCAGAGACCAGAGAGAGAGAGAGACCAGAGAGAGACCAGAGAGAGACCAGAGAGAGACCAGAGAGAGACACCAGAGAGAGACCAGAGAGAGACCAGAGAGAGAGACCAGAGAGAGACCAGAGAGAGACCAGAGAGAGACACCAGAGAGAGACCAGAGAGAGACCAGAGAGAGAGACCAGAGAGAGACCAGAGAGAGAGACCAGAGAGAGACCAGAGAGAGACCAGAGAGAGACCGTTTGTTGTTCAACAGACAGGACTTCATAAACTTAGATTTGGTTCAAACCGTCACAAGATCAGATTTTTAAGTTGTGAGAGACATCAGCGCAGCTTCAGCTTGTGTTCGCGCAGGTTTCCTCTGGGTGCTCCGGTTTCCCCGCCCTGTGCTCCTGATGAGGCCCTAGTGGCCTCAGGATGGGTCAAATGCAGAGGACAAAAACACATAAAGTAGAATCACACCATGAGGACAACATAAAGTTATTTCCAACTCCTCCTCAGGACATTTGTGCTGTTCCACAGAATAATGACTTCTGGAACAAGCAGAGACACAAAGTGAGACATGAACACATAAAGTAAATATAGCATTAAAACTGTCTGAATGGAAAGACTTCAGAGAGGAACGCTGCCCAAGGCAACATGGCCGCCGTCTGCTCTGACGGACTCTGACTTTACCCTCGTCTGGAACCTTTAATTGTTTGTTGGCGCTGATGGACGCTCGGCCTTTATCTCTCACTCTTTTCCACAGTTTGACTTTTGGCGTCTCCTTCACGGCAAAGTAAAGATGGTTTTCTAAGTGAGCAGACGTTGTATTTTTAGTCTTTTTAATCTACTGTGAATGTTATTTATCTGTCTTTAGTGATAATAATATTTAGAGACTTTAATGCGTTAATTAAGATGAAACAATTACACCAAAATAAAAAAAATTTTTGACGCACTTAACACATTTTGCATCACGGAATCTTTGTTATGGGAACGTTTGAGAGGACCGATTAAACTGAAACACTTTCTGCTCCAGACGTCAATAAACACAACCACATGTCGTGTGGTCTGTCCATAGACTGTAAATATTAACGGACGACGTTCTATCTAATGTACCACAACTCCCGCGGTCTATGGGCAGTGTCAAAATGGCCGCGGGGGCTGGAAAATGTGAAAAAACACATCTGTGCATGCGTCAGCTGCACGAGCTCCATTTATTTAAACGAGAGACTTCTAAAGTCCACAGCGGTTAAACTAGACTGGTCCAGAACACTCAGCATTGACACACATGTGGAACGGAGCTTTGGACCAAGAGACAACTTTTGGACCATCCTGTAAAGACGTTTTCCAGAGTTCTGCCAATGCTATGGGCTGTATGCACGGGGAGGCGTGACATCATTTCCTGTTAACAAAGATCAGCCCGTTCACTTCCTGTCTATGCTCTTCTACGGTATTTAGGTGAGTTTTAGTGACGTTTTTTAGTAATTAGATCGATACATTCAGCTGAGACTGATCCAAAAGTGTCTCTGTGCTTTCTCTCTGAGGTAGAGCTGTGACTGTGGCCACTCACAGAGATTAATAAACTTTACAAAAACACAATGACAGCACAATCAGAGAGCACTGCTGTGTCCCAAAAATGCACAGTATCCTCAGTTTAATCCCTGTTTGATCATTATTTGGGAAACTCGTGTAAACCACTGAACTCCAGTGAGACTCAAGCAGTTTCCCACGAACAGGAAGTGACGTGGGGCTTTAGCTAAAACGCTGAAGTGGTGCGTAGAGCCTATATGTTAGCATTGGCTTATTCTTACTCCAGGTCCACCCCCACAGGCCCGGGGTGGTATTGCAGCCTGTCAGGGTCCACCCCCACAGGCCCGGGGTGGTATTGCAGCCTGTCAGGGTCCACCCCCACAGGCCCGGGGTGGTACTGCAGCCTGTCAGCGCACGTCATTTTGGACACTTCTGAGCCGGGACCCTCCCCCACTGGGTCAGACATGTTGTGTAGTGTGTGTAGAGTGTAGTGTGTGTAGAGTGTAGCGAGTGTGTAGTGTGTGTGTGTGTAGTGTGTGTGTAGCGAGTGTGTAGTGTGTGTGTAGCGAGTGTGTAGTGTGTGTGTAGCGAGTGTGTAGTGTGTGTGTAGCGAGTGTGTAGTGTGTGTGTAGTGTGTGTGTAGCGAGTGTGTAGTGTGTGTGTGTAGCGAGTGTGTAGTGTGTGTGTGTAGCGAGTGCGTGTAGTGTGTGTGTGTAGCGTGTGTGTAGTGTGTATGTAGCGAGTGTGTAGTGTCTGTAGCATGTGTGTGTGTAGCGTGTGTGTAGTGTGTGTGTAGCGAGTGTGTAGCGAGTGTGTAGTGTGTGTGTAGTGTGTGTGTAGGTGTGTGTAGCGTGTGTGTAGTGTGTGTGTGTGTGTGTAGCGTGTGTGTAGTGTGTGTAGCGAGGTGTGTGTGTGTGTAGCGAGTGTGTAGTGTGTGTGTGTGTGTGAGTGTGTGTGTAGCGAGTGTGTAGTGTGTGTGTAGTGTGTGTGTGTAGCGAGTGTGTAGTGTGTGTGTGTAGCGAGTGCGTGTAGTGTGTGTGTGTAGCGTGTGTGTAGTGTGTATGTAGCGAGTGTGTAGTGTCTGTAGCGTGTGTGTGTGTAGTGTGTGTGTAGCGTGTGTGTAGTGTGTGTGTAGCGAGTGTGTAGCGAGTGTGTAGTGTGTGTGTAGCGTGTGTGTAGTGTGTGTGTAGCGAGTGTGTAGTGTGTGTGTAGTGTGTGTGTAGCGAGTGTGTAGTGTGTGTGTAGTGTGTGTGTAGCGAGTGTGTAGTGTGTGTGTGTGTGTGTGTGTAGTGTGTGTGTAGCGTGTGTGTAGTGTGTGTGTAGCGTGTGTGTAGTGTGTGTGTAGCGAGTGTGTGTAGTGTGTGTGTAGCGAGTGTGTAGTGTGTGTGTAGCGTGTGTGTAGTGTGTGTGTAGCGTGTGTGTAGCGTGTGTGTAGTGTGTGTGTAGCGGTGTGTAGCGTGTGTGTCGGTGTGTGTGTGTGTGTGACGAGTGTGTAGTGTGTGTGTAGTGTGTGTGTAGCGTGTGTGTAGTGTGTGTGTGTAGCGTGTGTGTAGTGTGTGTGTAGCGAGTGTGTAGCGTGTGTGTAGTGTGTGTGTAGCGTGTGTGTAGCGTGTGTGTAGTGTGTGTGTAGCGAGTGTGTAGTGTGTGTGTAGTGTGTGTGTAGCGAGTGTGTAGTGTGTGTGTAGTGTGTGTGTAGCGAGTGTGTAGTGTGTGTGTAGTGGTGTGTGTGGTGTAGGTGTGTGTAGCGTGTGTGTAGCGAGTGTGTAGTGTGTGTGTAGTGTGTGTGTAGCGAGTGTGTAGCGTGTGTGTAGTGTGTGTGTAGTGTGTGTGTAGCGTGTGTGTAGTGTGTGTGTAGCGAGTGTGTAGTGTGTGTGTAGTGTGTGTGTAGCGAGTGTGTAGTGTGTGTGTAGTGTGTGTGTAGCGAGTGTGTAGTGTGTGTGTGTAGTGTGTGTGTAGTGTGTGTGTGTGTGTAGCGTGTGTGTAGTGTGTGTGTAGCGAGTGTGTAGCGTGTGTGTAGTGTGTGTGTAGCGAGTGTGTAGTGTGTGTGTAGTGTGTGTGTAGTGTGTGTGTAGTGTGTGTGTAGCGTGTGTGTAGTGTGTGTGTAGCGTGTGTGTAGCGTGTGTGTAGTGTGTGTGTAGCGAGTGTGTAGCGTGTGTGTAGTGTGTGTGTAGCGTGTGTGTAGTGTGTGTGTAGCGAGTGTGTAGTGTGTGTGTAGTGTGTGTGTAGCGAGTGTGTAGTGTGTGTGTAGTGTGTGTGTAGCGATGTGTGTGTAGTGTGTGTGTGTGTGTGTGTAGTGTGTGTGTAGCGTGTGTGTAGTGTGTGTGTGTAGCGTGTGTGTAGTGTGTGTGTAGCGAGTGTGTAGTGTGTGTGTAGTGTGTGTGTAGCGAGTGTGTAGTGTGTGTGTAGCGTGTGTGTAGTGTGTGTGTAGCGTGTGTGTAGCGTGTGTGTAGTGTGTGTGTAGCGAGTATGTAGCGTGTGTGTAGTGTGTGTGTAGCGAGTGTGTAGTGTGTGTGTAGTGTGTGTGTAGCGAGTGTGTAGTGTGTGTGTAGTGTGTGTGTAGCGAGTGTGTAGTGTGTGTGTAGTGTGTGTGTGTAGTGTGTGTGTAGCGTGTGTGTAGTGTGTGTGTAGCGTGTGTGTAGTGTGTGTGTAGCGAGTGTGTAGTGTGTGTGTAGTGTGTGTGTAGCGAGTGTGTAGTGTGTGTGTAGTGTGTGTGTAGCGAGTGTGTAGTGTGTGTGTAGTGTGTGTGTAGCGAGTGTGTAGTGTGTGTGTAGTGTGTGTGTAGCGTGTGTGTAGTGTGTGTGTAGCGTGTGTGTAGTGTGTGTGTAGCGAGTGTGTAGTGTGTGTGTAGTGTGTGTAGCGAGTGTGTAGTGTGTGTGTAGTGTGTGTGTAGCGTGTGTGTAGTGTGTGTGTAGCGTGTGTGTAGTGTGTGTGTAGCGAGTGTGTAGCGTGTGTGTAGTGTGTGTGTAGCGTGTGTGTAGCGTGTGTGTGTGTGTAGTGTGTGTAGCGTGTGTGTAGTGTGTGTGTTAGCGAGTGTGTAGCGTGTGTGTAGTGTGTTTGTAGCGAGTGTGTAGTGTGTGTGTAGCGAGTGTGTAGTGTGTTTGTAGCGAGTGTGTAGTGTGTGTGTAGTGTGTGTGTAGCGAGTGTGTAGCGTGTGTGTAGTGTGTGTGTAGCGTGTGTGTAGTGTGTGTGTAGCGAGTGTGTAGCGTGTGTGTAGTGTGTTTGTAGCGAGTGTGTAGTGTGTGTGTAGCGTGTGTGTAGTGTGTTTGTAGCGAGTGTGTAGTGAGTGTGTAGCGTGTGTGTAGATCAGGGGTGCTCAATACGTCGATCGCGATCTACCAGTCGATCGCAAAGGTAGTATTGGTAGATCGCATTAAATAAATAAAAAATTACTCTAAACGAATATATACAAAAAACTCCGGGCAAAGTGGAGATTTTTGAAAACTCCGTTAATGCATTTGTGTGTAGACAGAGATAACCAGAGTTTTGCGTTCTCGCACGCCACAGTACCCCCTAAATTCCTCTGATCACTGAAGCATGGATCATACTACCTTAAAAATTGTCCGCTGTGAGATGCTCGCATCCTCCACATCAGAGAGCAGCAAAGTGATCGCGGGGACTCACGCTTGAAAACAACCAAACCAGGACTAAACCAGGACTAAACCAGGACTAAACCAGGGCTGAGGACGGGGTCAGTGCTTGTAAACATACGTCTTACTCTTTACTCTGAGTGTCTTCTATGACTGTAAAAGTGCCGTTACCGGCGTCTGCATCAGAACTCCGCCCACTTCTGTGTTTTTCCCCAACGCAGGACAGGACGTAAGAGACGCACATGTTTGGAATGTTACGAACGTGACTGATAACGCAGATGTGTGGATGCAAATTATTTTATAAACGGAGGAGGGGAAATATTTGGATTTAAAAAAACAGGCATGGCACATGGACATGGCACCACAGTCAAATGACATCTGTGTTTTACTCAGTAATGTTTTACTGACACTTAGGTGACTGCACATGCGCAAACAACCGCGCTCAGTGCAGGAAAGCTAAACCACGACAAACTTGTCAGCGAGTTGCCACCAATTTTCCGGACTATGCATCCCTGGCCGATTCAATTCAGTGCAAGTCATCAGAGTAAACTCGGGTAATGACAAAAAATGTACATAGGTAATTGTGTTGTGTTGTGCTATATTGGCTCATGCTGTTTTGCATGTACATAAACATACATTGTAGATATAAAGAATATTTTTTGAAATATATGATTTGCATTTTTGTAGTAGGTAGATCATTTTGACTTGATCCTTTTATAAGTAGCTCGCATGCTGAAAAAGTGTGAGCACCCCTGGTGTAGATGGTCTTGACCTTGTAAGAACCAAAGCTTTGGATGTTTCTCGTGTGTTTCTGATGATATCGATCAAACATATGGAGGACCGTGGCTGCCAAAACAATAAATATATACAGAAATAAATAAATAAATTTAAAAAAGATAAAATTTGCAAAGAAATGCATGCAATTATGAGAATAAGTGCATTTATTTATTTATTTCTGTATTTATTTTCGTATTTCTGTTAATGATATGCAAATCATGGGGTGGGCCGGGATGCCTCTGCTGTAAGCTCATTGGTTAATCTTTTTCCACATTAACCTCAGGTTCTAGTCCCACATTAAGCTCAGGTTCTAGTCCCACATTAACCTCAGGTTCTAGTCCCACATTAAGCTCAGGTTCTAGTCCCACATTAACCTCAGGTTCTAGTCCCACATTAACCTCAGGTTCTAGTCCCACATTAACCTCAGGTTCTAGTCCCACATTAACCTCAGGTTCTAGTCCCACACTAACCTCAGGTTCTAGTCCCACACTAACCTCAGGTTCTAGTCCCACATTAACCTCAGGTTCTAGTCCCACATTAACCTCAGGTTCTAGTCCCACATTAACCTCAGGTTCTAGTCCCACATTAAGCTCAGGTTCTAGTCCCACATTAAGCTCAGGTTCTAGTCCCACACTAACCTCAGGTTCTAGTCCCACATTAACCTCAGGTTCTAGTCCCACATTAACCTCAGGTTCTAGTCCCACATTAACCTCAGGTTCTAGTCCCACATTAACCTCAGGTTCTAGTCCCACATTAAGCTCAGGTTCTAGTCCCACACTAACCTCAGGTTCTACTCCCACACTAACCTCAGGTTCTAGTCCCACATTAACCTCAGGTTCTAGTCCCACATTAACCTCAGGTTCTAGTCCCACATTAACCTCAGGTTCTAGTCCCACATTAAGCTCAGGTTCTAGTCCCACATTAACCTCAGGTTCTAGTTCCACATTAACCTCAGGTTCTAGTCCCACATTAACCTCAGGTTCTAGTCCCACATTAAGCTCAGGTTCTAGTCCCACATTAACCTCAGGTTCTAGTCCCACATTAACCTCAGGTTCTAGTCCCACATTAAGCTCAGGTTCTAGTCCCACATTAAGCTCAGGTTCTAGTCCCACATTAACCTCAGGTTCTAGTCCCACATTAAGCTCAGGTTCTAGTCCCACATTAAGCTCAGGTTCTAGTCCCACATTAACCTCAGGTTCTAGTCCCACATTAAGCTCAGGTTCTAGTCCCACACTAACCTCAGGTTCTAGTCCCACATTAACCTCAGGTTCTAGTCCCACATTAACCTCAGGTTCTAGTCCCACACTAACCTCAGGTTCTAGTCCCACACTAACCTCAGGTTCTAGTCCCACACTAACCTCAGGTTCTAGTCCCACACTAACCTCAGGTTCTAGTCCCACACTAACCTCAGGTTCTAGTCCCACATTAACCTCAGGTTCTAGTCCCACATTAAGCTCAGGTTCTAGTCCCACATTAACCTCAGGTTCTAGTCCCACATTAAGCTCAGGTTCTAGTCCCACACTAACCTCAGGTTCTAGTCCCACATTAACCTCAGGTTCTAGTCCCACATTAACCTCAGGTTCTAGTCCCACACTAACCTCAGGTTCTAGTCCCACACTAACCTCAGGTTCTAGTCCCACACTAACCTCAGGTTCTAGTCCCACATTAACCTCAGGTTCTAGTCCCACACTAACCTCAGGTTCTAGTCCCACACTAACCTCAGGTTCTAGTCCCACACTAACCTCAGGTTCTAGTCCCACACTAACCTCAGGTTCTAGTCCCACATTAACCTCAGGTTCTAGTCCCACATTAACCTCAGGTTCTAGTCCCACACTAACCTCAGGTTCTAGTCCCACATTAACCTCAGGTTCTAGTCCCACATTAACCTCAGGTTCTAGTCCCACACTAACCTCAGGTTCTAGTCCCACACTAACCTCAGGTTCTAGTCCCACATTAACCTCAGGTTCTAGTCCCACACTAACCTCAGGTTCTAGTCCCACACTAACCTCAGGTTCTAGTCCCACATTAACCTCAGGTTCTAGTCCCACACTAACCTCAGGTTCTAGTCCCACATTAACCTCAGGTTCTAGTCCCACACTAACCTCAGGTTCTAGTCCCACATTAACCTCAGGTTCTAGTCCCACACTAACCTCAGGTTCTAGTCCCACATTAACCTCAGGTTCTAGTCCCACACTAACCTCAGGTTCTAGTCCCACACTAACCTCAGGTTCTAGTCCCACATTAAGCTCAGGTTCTAGTCCCACACTAACCTCAGGTTCTAGTCCCACATTAACCTCAGGTTCTAGTCCCACATTAACCTCAGGTTCTAGTCCCACACTAACCTCAGGTTCTAGTCCCACACTAACCTCAGGTTCTAGTCCCACATTAACCTCAGGTTCTAGTCCCACATTAACCTCAGGTTCTAGTCCCACATTAACCTCAGGTTCTAGTCCCACACTAACCTCAGGTTCTAGTCCCACACTAACCTCAGGTTCTAGTCCCACACTAACCTCAGGTTCTAGTCCCACACTAACCTCAGGTTCTAGTCCCACATTAACCTCAGGTTCTAGTCCCACATTAACCTCAGGTTCTAGTCCCACATTAACCTCAGGTTCTAGTCCCACACTAACCTCAGGTTCTAGTCCCACATTAACCTCAGGTTCTAGTCCCACACTAACCTCAGGTTCTAGTCCCACATTAACCTCAGGTTCTAGTCCCACATTAACCTCAGGTTCTAGTCCCACATTAACCTCAGGTTCTAGTCCCACATTAACCTCAGGTTCTAGTCCCACATTAACCTCAGACTGTGTAAATGCAGCGTCGCTTTAACTCTGAGCACTTCTCGTTCTTTCAACTCTTTCAGAAGTTTTTCCCCAAATCAGAATCAGAGCCAGAGCCGAGTCAGAGCTTCAATAAAAAACGCACAACAGTCTTTGAAGTGTGCGGTTCATGCAGAGTTCAGCTGAAGACACACAACTCTGAGAATCTGCAGTTTTTAGTCTCAAAGAAACATTTTACACAAGATTCTCAGACGACCTTCACTTTAACAGTGTCACACACACACAACACACACACACAACACCACAAAGACACACACACACAAGAGGACTGGTCTGTCACAGACACACAACACACACACACAGATACACACTGTGGGGGGCATGGTGGCTGAGTGGTTAGCACTCTCGCCTCTCAGCAAGAAGGTCCTGGGTTCGAATCCCAGTCGGAACAGGGCCTTTCTGAGTGGTGTTTGCATGTTCTCCCTGTGTCTGCGTAGGTTTCCTCCGGGTGCTCCGGTTTCCCCTACCACTAAAAACATGCACAATAGGTCTGAATGTAAATGAGAGAGTGAATGATGGTGTTGGAGCTGATGGTCCAGTGTGTTCTGGACTCGCTTCTGTCATCACCGTGTGTGGAAGGATTGGAACAATATCTGACTCTGAACATTGGAAAGTGCTTTGGGTCTGACCTTTGGGTCTGTATAATGTGCTATATAAATAAACATTACTTACACACACAGACACAGACACAGACACACAACACGTCAGCTCTAAGTCTTGTTTTACACTTTGTTAATCTCTCTGGCCCCGTTGACACGGCTCTACCAGGTCAGGTTCTTACCATGGGCTGATACTGGTGTCAGGTTCTTACCATGGGCTGATACTGGTGTCAGGTTCTTACCATGGGCTGATACTGGTGTCAGGTTCTTACCATGGGCTGATACTGGTGTCAGGTGGATACCATCGGCTGATACTGGTGTCAGGTGGATACCATCGGCTGATACTGGTGTCAGGTGGATACCATCGGCTGATACTGGTGTCAGGTGGATACCATCGGCTGATACTGGTGTCAGGTCGATACCATCGGCTGATACTGGTGTCAGGTGGATACCATCGGCTGATACTGGTGTCAGGTTCTTACCATGGGCTGATACTGGTGTCAGGTTCTTACCATCGCCTGATACTGGTGTCAGGTTCTTACCATCGCCTGATACTGGTGTCAGGTGGATACCATCGGCTGAAACTGGTGTCAGGTCGATACCATCGGCTGATACTGGTGTCAGGTCGATACCATCGGCTGATACTGGTGTCAGGTGGATACCATGGGCTGATACTGGTGTCAGGTGGATACCATGGGCTGATACTGGTATCAGGTCGATACCATCGGCTGATACTGGTGTCAGGTCGATACCGTCGGCTGATACTGGTGTCAGGTCGATACCATGGGCTGATACTGGTGTCAGGTCGATACCATGGGCTGATACTGGTGTCAGGTCGATACCATGGGCTGATACTGGTGTCAGGTCGATACCATCGGCTTGTACTCTTGTTCGTACCATAGGACCCAGCACCTGATCCCTACATTTTTAATTTACATTAGAGTCCAGGCAGCAGAGCCTGTTGCCATGGTGATCTCCCACTGTCTCCAGCAATTAGCCTGCTAGCGGGTAACCTGCTAGTGGTTAGCCAGCTAGCAGCAAGTGGATGTTGGCCATATAGTGTTCTAAAGTAAGACTGAGAAGAGAAAAGCAGCTGTAATTTGTGTAAAACTGTCGCAAAGAGGATCGAAAACAAACACTAACACCAGCAACGGATAAACATCTGAAAACACAGCATAACACAGACGAAGGAGTATAGCACCGGAGCTAGCACCGGAGCTAGCACCGGAGTTAGCACCGGAGTTAGCACCGGAGCTAGCACCGGAGCTAGCACCGGAGTTAGCACCGGAGCTAGCACCGGAGCTAGCACAGCACAAAACAACCAACTCTACAACAAACTTTGAAGAACCAGAAAAGATGTGACGCAACAATCTACGAACAATAAAAATATGTATTTATGGCTCTTGACGATCGGACACTGGAAATGTTTAAACGTCTTTAGGGTTCTCTGAGCCACAGACTCTGCTTTTCCAACGGAGAAGGTGAAGAAGCACATTTAAACAAACGCTAAAATGTTTTAACTGTTAAAGCATTTTCCTATTGTTGAAATGATAATAAAAAATAAAACAATTCAGTTGTATCAGTTTGATGAATAACCCAGAGATAAGTGCTCAGTATCGAAAGATCTGAACTGAACACGACAGAAACAGTCACAAGGTTTTATCATTACATTAAAATTAAAATTAATACAAATAAATCCTTCAGTTGTTGCAGAAACAGATCTGTTTATAATCTGGATTTCAACATTATCAGAGAAGAAGTCTGTCTCCCAGCAGGAGGCCAGTCCCTGTGCTCCTCAGAGTCCCAGCAGGAGACCAGTCCCTGTGCTCCTCAGAGTCCCAGCAGGAGGCCAGTCCCTGTGCTCCTCAGAGTCCCAGCAGGAGTCCAGTCCCTGTGCTCCTGAGAGTCCCAGCAGGAGTCCAGTCCCTGTGCTCCTCAGAGTCCCAGCAGGAGGCCAGTCCCTGTGCTCCTCAGAGTCCCAGCAGGAGACCAGTCCCTGTGCTCCTCAGAGTCCCAGCAGGAGGCCAGTCCCTGTGCTCCTCAGAGTCCCAGCAGGAGACCAGTCCCTGTGCTCCTCAGAGTCCCAGCAGGAGTCCAGTCCCTGTGCTCCTCAGAGTCCCAGCAGGAGACCAGTCCCTGTGCTCCTCAGAGTCCCAGCAGGAGTCCAGTCCCTGTGCTCCTCAGAGTCCCAGCAGGAGGCCAGTCCCTGTGCTCCTCAGAGTCCCAGCAGGAGACCAGTCCCTGTGCTCCTCAGAGTCCCAGCAGGAGACCAGTCCCTGTGCTCCTCAGAGTCCCAGCAGGAGGCCAGTCCCTGTGCTCCTCAGAGTCCCAGCAGGAGGCCAGTCCCTGTGCTCCTCAGAGTCCCAGCAGGAGGCCAGTCCCTGTGCTCCTCAGAGTCCCAGCAGGAGGCCAGTCCCTGTGCTCCTCAGAGTCCCAGCAGGAGACCAGTCCCTGTGCTCCTCAGAGTCCCAGCAGGAGGCCAGTCCCTGTGCTCCTCAGAGTCCCAGCAGGAGGCCAGTCCTTGTGCTCCTCAGAGTCCCAGCAGGAGGCCAGTCCCTGTGCTCCTCAGAGTCCCAGCAGGAGGCCAGTCCCTGTGCTCCTCAGAGTCCCAGCAGGAGGCCAGTCCCTGTGCTCCTCAGAGTCACCAGCAGGAGGCCAGTCCCTGTGCTCCTCAGAGTCCCAGCAGGAGGCCAGTCCCTGTGCTCCTCAGAGTCCCAGCTGGAGGCCAGTCCCTGTGCTCCTCAGAGTCACCAGCAGGAGGCCAGTCCCTGTGCTCCTCAGAGTCCCAGCAGGAGGCCAGTCCCTGTGCTCCTCAGAGTCCCAGCAGGAGGCCAGTCCTTGTGCTCCTCAGAGTCCCAGCAGGAGGCCAGTCCCTGTGCTCCTCAGAGTCCCAGCAGGAGGCCAGTCCCTGTGCTCCTCAGAGTCCCAGCAGGAGACCAGTCCCTGTGCTCCTCAGAGTCCCAGCAGGAGGCCAGTCCCTGTGCTCCTCAGAGTCCCAGCAGGAGTCCAGTCCCTGTGCTCCTGAGAGTCCCAGCAGGAGTCCAGTCCCTGTGCTCCTCAGAGTCCCAGCAGGAGGCCAGTCCCTGTGCTCCTCAGAGTCCCAGCAGGAGACCAGTCCCTGTGCTCCTCAGAGTCCCAGCAGGAGGCCAGTCCCTGTGCTCCTCAGAGTCCCAGCAGGAGACCAGTCCCTGTGCTCCTCAGAGTCCCAGCAGGAGTCCAGTCCCTGTGCTCCTCAGAGTCCCAGCAGGAGGCCAGTCCCTGTGCTCCTCAGAGTCCCAGCAGGAGTCCAGTCCCTGTGCTCCTCAGAGTCCCAGCAGGAGGCCAGTCCCTGTGCTCCTCAGAGTCCCAGCAGGAGACCAGTCCCTGTGCTCCTCAGAGTCCCAGCAGGAGACCAGTCCCTGTGCTCCTCAGAGTCCCAGCAGGAGGCCAGTCCCTGTGCTCCTCAGAGTCCCAGCAGGAGGCCAGTCCCTGTGCTCCTCAGAGTCCCAGCAGGAGGCCAGTCCCTGTGCTCCTCAGAGTCCCAGCAGGAGGCCAGTCCCTGTGCTCCTCAGAGTCCCAGCAGGAGACCAGTCCCTGTGCTCCTCAGAGTCCCAGCAGGAGGCCAGTCCCTGTGCTCCTCAGAGTCCCAGCAGGAGGCCAGTCCTTGTGCTCCTCAGAGTCCCAGCAGGAGGCCAGTCCCTGTGCTCCTCAGAGTCCCAGCAGGAGGCCAGTCCCTGTGCTCCTCAGAGTCCCAGCAGGAGGCCAGTCCCTGTGCTCCTCAGAGTCACCAGCAGGAGGCCAGTCCCTGTGCTCCTCAGAGTCCCAGCAGGAGGCCAGTCCCTGTGCTCCTCAGAGTCCCAGCTGGAGGCCAGTCCCTGTGCTCCTCAGAGTCACCAGCAGGAGGCCAGTCCCTGTGCTCCTCAGAGTCCCAGCAGGAGGCCAGTCCCTGTGCTCCTCAGAGTCCCAGCAGGAGGCCAGTCCCTGTGCTCCTCAGAGTCCCAGCAGGAGGCCAGTCCCTGTGCTCCTCAGAGTCCCAGCAGGAGGCCAGTCCCTGTGCTCCTCTGAGTCCCAGCAGGAGTCCAGTCCCTGTGCTCCTCAGAGTCCCAGCAGGAGACCAGTCCCTGTGCTCCTCAGAGTCCCAGCAGGAGGCCAGTCCCTGTGCTCCTCAGAGTCCCAGCAGGAGGCCAGTCCTTGTGCTCCTCAGAGTCCCAGCAGGAGGCCAGTCCCTGTGCTCCTCAGAGTCCCAGCAGGAGGCCAGTCCCTGTGCTCCTCAGAGTCCCAGCAGGAGGCCAGTCCTTGTGCTCCTCAGAGTACCAGCAGGAGGCTGGTCCCTGTGCTCCTCAGAGTCCCAGCAGGAGTCCAGTCCCTGTGCTCCTCAGAGTCCCAGCAGGAGACCAGTCCCTGTGCTCCTCAAAGTCCCAGCAGCAGGAGACCAGTCCCTGTGCTCCTCAGAGTCCCAGCAGGAGGCCAGTCCCTGTGCTCCTCAGAGTCCCAGCAGGAGACCAGTCCCTGTGCTCCTCAGAGTCCCAGCAGGAGGCCAGTCCCTGTGCTCCTCAGAGTCCCAGCAGGAGGCCAGTCCTTGTGCTCCTCAGAGTCCCAGCAGGAGGCCAGTCCCTGTGCTCCTCAGAGTCCCAGCAGGAGGCCAGTCCCTGTGCTCCTCAGAGTCCCAGCAGGAGGCCAGTCCCTGTGCTCCTCAGAGTCCCAGCAGGAGGCCAGTCCCTGTGCTCCTCAGAGTCCCAGCAGTAGTCCAGTCCCTGTGCTCCTCAGAGTCCCAGCAGGAGGCCAGTCCCTGTGCTCCTCAGAGTCACCAGCAGGAGGCCAGTCCCTGTGCTCCTCAGAGTCCCAGCAGGAGGCCAGTCCCTGTGCTCCTCAGAGTCCCAGCTGGAGGCCAGTCCCTGTGCTCCTCAGAGTCCCAGCAGGAGGCCAGGCCCAGTGCTCCTCAGAGTCCCAGCAGGAGTCCAGTCCCTGTGCTCCTCAGAGTCCCAGCAGGAGGCCAGTCCCTGTGCTCCTCAGAGTCCCAGCAGGAGTCCAGTCCCTGTGCTCCTCAGAGTCCCAGCAGGAGTCCAGTCCCTGTGCTCCTCAGAGTCCCAGCAGGAGGCCAGTCCCTGTGCTCCTCAGAGTCCCAGCAGGAGGCCAGTCCCTGTGCTCCTCAGAGTCCCAGCAGGAGGCCAGTCCCTGTGCTCCTCAGAGTCCCAGCAGGAGGCCAGTCCCTGTGCTCCTCAGAGTCCCAGCAGGAGGCCAGTCCCTGTGCTCCTCAGAGTCCCAGCAGGAGGCCAGTCCCTGATTCTGCTTCTGTGTTTACCATTGTGTTAATCACAGGTACAGACCGTTACCTGTGAATTGTCACCAATGAAATACAAAATTCTGTCGATCTGTGTTTAATAAAAAGTTAGAATCTAAAGTTTGTAATAAATAAGATAAAAATAAAGGTTCTGTTCTTTGAGATCAGGAGGAGGTGGAATGTGGTCCAACAGCGCCCTCTGGAGGCAGCTTTTCTGTTCAGTAAAACAGATCATAATAATCCATTACAATAAAGTTATATGCTTTAAAACATATATATATATATATATATATATATATATATATATATATTCTCATGTAGTTTTATTATTATTATTTATTTTATTATTTTCTATGAATTATTTTTATGTAATTATCGTTTCTTCTGTGAATTGTTGTTTAGGAAGATTTATCTGAACGGCTTTATCTAAATAAACTAAAGTCAAACTGTCATGTCTCTGTAACTCTCACTGCGGTTTCTCCTGAAAACACCTGAAAACACCTGAAAACACCTGAAAACACCTGAAAACACCTGAATCACACTGATGTCTGCTGTTGTTGCTGCTCAATTAAACCCACTTTGCCTGAAGCTCCCACTGAAAGATCTCAGCTCCTGTGGACTCAGCACCTGCAGGAGGATCAGTGAGGGGCTGGTGCTCTGAATGCAACCCCTCGACCCAGAAATGGATTAAGGGGAAGAAGATGAATGAATGAACATTGTTTGGTGGCATTGAACAGACATTTTGGCACACATGAAAAACAAATCCACTTCACTGATAAGGCTGGCTTTAAAGACCACCTTTAAAAGCGCTACCCCAGGGCCTTTATCCCCACCACTGTCAGACTGTACAATAAGTCACTTTAAGGCCCTGTCTACACGTAGCAGGGCATTTATAAATCCGCCCTCCGCCTAAAAAAAAACTTCTGTCCACACAGCCTCGGTTTTTAAAAAAACGGCATCCACACCTAACCGCATACATGCGTTGTCAATTACATTTCAAACCTACAAACCTACCTTCCTCCGGGAGGACGACTTCCATCTCAAAGTTCTCCCACCAGCTGGCAGTGCGTCCCGGTCTGACCCAAAATTGCCGTTGCCGTCTTTGACGAGGAACATGTCTTGGACGAGGGATGGTTATTTGGCGGAAAATAGCCGACCTTAAAGTGCTCCTTCGTCTGTGCTCTTCAACGTGAAGCAGTATTTGAGCTTGTAAAAACAAGCAAGAAAAAAGTGCCTGAACAATCGTTAAAACAAAAGCGGTTTTGATGGCCTCCATGTTGTTTCTGATGTAAACACAGGTCGCGCGTGTGACGTCAGAGCAGCACGCTGGTAGTGACGTACAGCCGAATACTCCGGTTATTTATGTCCACACTCAAACGCATAACCGGAGAATTCCCAAATCTTCACTTTGGCCGGAGTTTTCAGAAACCTTCGTTTTTATCGACAGAAAACTCCGGGTTTGTGTGGATGATAGGCCAGATCGTAGGAAAATATCTTCGGTTTGTGAGATACCCTGCTACGTGTAGACGGGGCCTAAGTCACTTGCATTAGGAGTGAAAAACCTGCACTGCTATTGACACTGTTTCTGAATGCCACATTTTATTGTATATAATTGAAGAAAATGGCAAAGTCTGGGATCGTGTCTTTAATTCAGACAGAAGACATGTTTTATTGTCGATGGTAGAGACAGCACAAACAAAGATATTAATAATGCATCGGTTTTATACAGCGCTTTTTTGGACACTCAAAGACGCTTTGAAGAAGTGTCTTGCCTAAGGACACAACCACAGTTTGGCACTTTACAGCCGCAGCCGCCCCACTGTGGCTGGTGTTCCCAGAGGTTAAGTGTCTTGCCAAGGACACAACGACAGTAGTCAGTGGGAGTCGATGGTGAAAGTCTTGAGCCCTAAGACGTTACAGACAGATACAGCGGAGGAATGAACCCCGTCCAATCAGCTTTTGCCGTCCAATCAGCTTTTGCCGCGATGCCAGTAGCTTGGCCTTCAAAAATCAAAACATGCAGTGGAAAAGTACTGCCTTCTGGATATGTTAGAATGAGTTAGAACTTTAACCACAGTTGCTTCAAAGTGTCACGAAATCTCAAAGTAATATATCCTGCATTTAACATATTGCACATTTATTTTCTTTTGCACAATCTTGCGTGATTCTATCTGTGCCAGATGTGACATGTACATTTCCCTTGTGTGAGATCAATAAAGTATATCTTATCTTATCTTAAAACTTGTTTTGTAACTTTAATATATATTTACTAGTAAACTGACATTTTTCTTTCTTTGAGAAGCTGGCAGTAATACCACATTTAACACTGATAATTATTTAATCTATTCTGTGTAGTTGTCTAAAACACAACACTTAAACCGTGCTATCTTCTGGGACCAGTTAATGAGGCCGATTGGGTGATAGGTGCCTCAAATTATTCTGCCTTAACTCCCAAACTCTCTCGACACTGGAACTTTTTCCCTTCTAAGTTTGACCTGTTATAATCGTGAGAGTTTGAGGTTCTGTCCCTGCGGTTATAAGAGCAGCTTCACACAGACGGCGCCCCCTAGAGGACAGACACTATGGTACAAAGTGACCTGTAAAGTTTTCTCAGTCCTGGACATGTCGCGTCTGTCGAGGGACTCAGCTCCAGTAAAGTTTCTGCTGTTTGAGTTTTATCAAGAATTTAGTCCTTCAGCTCTGTCATAGGGACTTTAAACACTGAAACCCAGAGAGCAGTCAATTTGCAAGAGCAGCATGGTGGCTGAGTGGATAGCACTCTCGACTCTCAGCAAGAAGGTCCTGGGTTTGAATCCCGGTCGGAACAGCGTCTTTCTGTGTGGAGTTTGCATGTTCTCCCTGTACTTGCGTATGTTTCCTCTGAGCGCTCCGGTTTCCCCTATCACAAAAAACATGCTCACTAGGTAAAATCCTCCAGCTGTGGTCCTGACCAAGTCGAGCATCAACATCTGGAGATGGCTCCCAGGCGCTGTTACTGCTCCGACCACCATATTTACCTGTTTTGGTTTTACAAAATGTGTGACTTTTTTCGCTATATCTGTATGTAGTTTACTTCTATGTCAGTATGTTTTATGGAATGATCTTTCATATTTTTTATCGGTTGCTAGGTGACCAATCCAATCTGCTTAATCTATATAGCACATTTTATAAAACAAGTTTCCTGCACACCGGATTGGTTAAATGAAGCCACGCACAACAATAAGTAGTCATGCATAATACACTTAGATATGGTACCCGTTCTAGCTAGACCCCAGCAGGTGGATTGCATCAGTAACCAGTGCTTAGGAGCTACATGTGTCACAGGCGGTAAGAATCTGGCATCAAAAGTGTGATTGTGAGGACAGTTTAACCACTGACAGTGCGTTAAACATAAAGTCGCCTTAAAACAACAAATACAGTATAAGAACGAAAGAGAAAACAATTAGAATCTTAAACAAAACAAAAAACAGAGTTGGCAAATGGGTTAAACACACCTATCCAGGAAGAACATTCAGGTTCACTGACAATCACTGGAATGTCACTGAGAGTTACCAAAAAGAACAAACCAGTTTATACCAGTTTATAATAACTGCTGGGATTTTTGTTTTTGTCTCTAAAAAGTATTGGTTTGATTTGCAGCCAATGCACCATCAGCTAAAAACATCTATAGAGCCTGATTAGAACAAGACTCTGAATATGTTTCAAGAAGATGTACCAATGGAAATTTTGCAAAACATGCACAGCAGGTCACATTTTTTCAGGAAAAACTTCCTGGTTGCCACGCCTTCAGACACATAACAGAGGAACAGAAAGTATTCACTCACTCTGAACACTGCTGTCTGGCCTCACAGAGCTCTGATAATCCGGGACTTGCTTGAGTTCCAAATGGCCGAGGCCCTGTTTGAAGACTTCCTGACCTGCCCCATCTGCATGGACCCTCTGAAGGAGCCGGTGAGTCTGGGCTGTCACCACAATTTCTGCCGCGTCTGCCTCAACAACAGCTGGGCTTCGAACCCATCCAAGACCTGCCCCATCTGCCGCCGCAGGTCGTCCAAAGAAACACTGGAGGTGAACTTTGCTCTTAGAAAGCTGTCCCTGTCCTTCAATGAACAAAAGACTCTGAAGGACAAACAACAGAGCTACGAAGAACTGGAGAAGACCTACGTAGAGCTGCAGCGTCACCAGAACGAGCAGTCGGTGGAGTGTGTGAGTCAGATCTCAAAAGTCTTCTCTCGTCTGCAGAAGATCCTGAAAGAGGAGGAGGAAAAGGCATTAATGGCCTTAGAAGAAGAGCAAAGCCAACAAGCTCAACGCCTTGAGTTAGAGCTGCAGCAGGTGAGAAGTCAGGTCACTGCATTGACCAACATCATCCAGGAGCTGCAGAAAAACAATAACTCTCAAAGCTTCAAGCAGGAGCTTGCTCTGGCCCTCTCACTGCCCCATCCCCATCCTCAAGAGAATCTGCTCCTGAACCAGGCCAAAGTCGTGGGAAACCTGGGCCATAGTGTGCTGAAAAAGATGCAGAAAGAGGTGAGCTTCAGTCCTGTCATTCTGGACCCCAACACTGCAGAGTGCACCATGCATCTGTCCCAGGACCTGTGTGCGGTGAGGCCCGGACCCCAACGACCAGTACCTGTGGTCCCAGAGAGGTTCACCAACGAGGCCATAGTCCTCGGCTCACAGGGCTTCAGCTCTGGGCAGCACCAGTGGGACGTGGAGGTGGGCGATCTGCCAAAGTGGGACATCGGAGTGGTCAAGAAGTCTATCGACAGAAGGGGAGAGATTTATGCAGAATTTGATTATGGAGTCTGGTGTTTATGGCATGGAGAGGGAGAGTATAACAATGGCTCTGGTCAGACAATCCCACTGAAATCAGCTCCAAAGAAGATCCGAGTGAAACTGGACTACGAGAAGGGAGAGGTGGCCTTCTATGACGCTCACACTATGGACCTTCTGCTGATCCACAAAGCAACGTTCACAGAGACACTGTTTCCTTATGTGTCTGTGGAGCCTGCAGCTGGAGCCAAGACCAAAGAGATCAGAGTCCAGTCCTGTTACGGCCACAGCCTGTAGAAACAAGACTTTCTGAGGGTGAGGAATGGCAATAGACTTGATTAAAGGTTTTCATGCCATTCATGAGTTCAGAAGCTACCCATGAACTGTCCCTGGATCGGGCAGATCTTTTCACCAAATACGATATTTCCTAAAACTTGAACCTTGCCCAGATTGGCAGCCCATCTGCTCTCAAAAATGGATAAGAATATCCCCAAAAACTTAGAAACGTATTTTAGGCAAAGCAAAATTATTTGTACAGAGTATCTCACATTTTGAGTAAGACTGTTCCAGATTTAAGCTGCATAAATCTGAATCCTGACTCTGGGCAGCGATCCTTGTGCAATTGTAGAAGATGATTTTTGGAAAAAAGGAACGCTCAAAGTTCAGAGATGTATAATTCAAATAAGAAGCATAAAGGTATCTCATCTTCATTTTCTGCAGGAAAACAAATATTACAATAAATGAATATTTGCTGTACAAACAAATATAACTATATACATGTAAACTTTTACCTGTAAAAATAAATAAAGAAATGTGATTTACCATTATTTGATTCTTCTGATTCAGGCAATCGTTTATTGAGCTTAATGTTCTTATAAATAACATGAATATATAGAATGTGTCAATAATCAGTGCTCAGGAGCTACATCTGTCACAGGCAGAAAGAATCTGGCAACAACGGCAAGATTGTAAAGGTTTTTTAACCTCTAAGAGTGCATTATACATACAGTCCCTTTAAACAAATCATGAATGTGGGAAATGAGAAAGGGAGGAGAATATGGGGACATAAAGAACAAAAGAAAACACATAAACAGAGAGAGTGAACTGATTACTCAAACTTATCCAGGAAGAACATTAGGTTCCCTGACAATCCTCTTTATCACATGCTTGAGCATCGGCGTCACCGAGAGAACAAACCAGTTTCTCCACATTTGTGGCATCAGCGGATAATAACTGCTGTAATGTATAGAAGCAACAGCCCTTCTTGCATCATGAGTTGGTATTTTGTATATGCAGGACTATGAATTTTTTTAGAGAATGAGCGATATGTCAAACAAGTA